TCCCTCCCAGATTCCCCACCCCTGTGTATACGAAGCTGGCCAGAACTGAAGAATGCCACATGCTCTTGCAGGCACTCTGGACTTTTTCACTCTTTCCCTTACCCTCCCACCAAGTCTGCTTGTCAGCTACATGTACACCCTCCATGAGACTTGATTCTCTTTATTCTCCTCCTGGACATCTGTTGCTACAGCTGGCCTGCCCTGGGATTTGTTTTTAAGTCTAATAAAACTCTCCTTGAGCTCCTGTTTAAAGAGTTCGTTCTTAAATTATTTTTTCATATTCTTTTTAAAAAATATTTTTTATGGTTTATTTAATTTTTTTATGTGCCTTGGTGTGAAGGTGTCAGATCCCCTGCAACTGAATCTTCAGACAGTTATGAGCTGCCACGTGGGTGCTGGGAATTGAACCCGGGTCTGGAAAAGCAGTCAGTGCTCTTAACCACTGAGCCATCTCTCCAGCCCCTCTTAAATTCTTTTATGAGACTAAGAACATCAAAGGAATACCCCAATTTTCCGTTATTTGGCAACCCTCAAATTCCTGTACATGAACATCTGCATATGAGAAATTCATCAAAAACTAAGGAGACTGGTGTAACATGAGAAAGCCTGTTTGTTGGGGGTTTTTCTGTCCTGTCCAGCCCCCCAGCTGTTTAGTCCCAGAGAAAAATCACACAAGGAGATCTCTGTAAGTTATAATGCTGATTGGCTCATTAGGTCAGGCTACTTATTAGCTAACTCTTACATCTTGATTAACCCATTTTTCTGATCTGTGTTAGCCATGTGGCTCAGTACCTTTTTCAGTGGGGCAGCTCACATCCTGCTGCTTCGGTGATCTGGGCAGGAGTGGGAGGAATCAACTTCCTCCTCCCTAGAATTCTTCCTGCTCTCCTTGCATCATTTCCACTTCCTGTCTGGTTTTCTCACCTACACCTCCTGCCTGGCCAATCAGCGTTTATTTAAAATATGATTGATAGAATACAGACAACTCTCCCGCACCAGACTGGTAGATGGATGGGTGGTGGGTGACAGAGTGATGTAGGTGGGCCTTCTGTCCATATGTTACTTTCAATGGTTAATAAAGAGACTGCCTTGGCCTTTTTGATAGGCCAGCCCTTAGGTGGGTGGAGTAGAAAGAACAGAATGCCGGGAAGAGTCGCCATGACTCTCCTCTCTGCAGGTTACGATCTTTCCTGGTAAGCCACCACCTCGTGGTGCTACACAGATTACTAAATATGGGTTAAAGCAATATGTGAGAGTTAGTCAATAAGAGGCTGGAGGTAATGGGCCAGGCAGTGATTAAAAGAATACAATTTGTGTGTTGTTTTTTCGGGTGTAAAGCTAGCCATGTGTGAGCAGGGCGGAAATGCAACCCACTGCTCCTTTTACAACAATAGAGGATGGATGTGTAGGCAGATGGATGGACAAATGGAATATCAAGATGGCAACCATATACAGTTCAAGTGGTGAATAAACAGATTCCTGAACACTACTCTGTCCATTTCCCTAAGATGATAGTGGGGGGACAATGAACACACAAAAAGCTACAAATGGGCAAGGGCTTGATTTCCACTACAGCTTGCCAGTCCAAGAACTATAAAACATGCAGAGAACCACAGAATCCCCTATTCCCACACCTGACTGAGGGCTCTCGGTGGAAACATTGAGGAAGCACCCAATCACAGTCTCTATGCCTCTGGATGGTGGCATGAGGAAGCCAAAAGTCTGCCCTAGGTTTTATGGAGGTGTCACTCAGCCTGGGGAGTAGTTCAGGAGGGTGTAGGGAAAGGGTAATTTCTTAACTAAATTCTCAGCAACTGTATCTCTGTCAGATTCAGTGAGAGACATGTAAGGGACTCAAACCAAGAGCCCAACCTACCACCACCAGTCTTCCTGTATGCCCGCGAGTTTGGTGTTTTCCTTGCATTTATGCTCACAACTACTCTGTGGGAAAGTTTCATCACCCTGACTTTATGGCAAGAAGGCTGAGGTTCAGAGGGTAAAGAAATGTGCCCAGAATCTATAGATTCAATGCAATCCCCATCAAAATCCCATCAAACTTCTTCACAGACCTTGAGAGAACAATAATCAAGTTTATATGGCAAAACAAAAAACCCAGGATAGCCAAAACAATCTTATACAATAAAAGAACTTCTGGAGGCATTACCATCCCTGACTTCAAACTCTATTATAGAGCTACAGTATTGAAAACAGCTTGGTATTGGCATAAGAACAGAGAAGTCGACCTATGGAATCGAATAGAAGACCCAGATATTAACCCACAAACTTATGAACACCTAATTTTCGACAAGGGAGCTAAAGGTATACAATGGAAGAAGGAAAGCATCTTTAACAAATGGTGCTGGCATAACTGGATGTCAACCTGTAAAAAAATGAAAGTAGATCCATATCTATCACCATGCACAAAAATCAAGTCCAAATGGATTAAAGACATCAACATTAATCTGTCCACTTTGAACCTGATAGAAGAGAAAGTGGGAAGTAGTCTACAAGAGTTAGGCACAGGAGGCCTCTTCCTAAGTAGGACCCCAGCAGCACAGACAGTAAGAGAAACAATGAATAAATGGGATCTACTGAAACTGGGAAGCTTCTGTAAAGGAAAGGACACTGTCAGTAGAACAAAAAGGCTGCCTTCTGACTGGGAGAAGATCTTCACCAACCCCTCATCAGACAAAGGTCTGATCTCCAAAATATACAAAGAACTCAAGAAACTAGGCACTAAAACTCTAATTAACCCAATTAAAAAATGGGGTACTGAACTTAACAGAGAATTCACAACAGATGAACTTCGAATGGCCAGAAGACACTTAAGGTCATGCTCAACCTCCTTAGCAATCAGGTAAATGCAAATCAAAACCACTTTGAGATACCATCTTACACCTGTCAGAATAGCTAAAGTCAAAAACACCAACGATAGCCTATGCTGGAGAGGATGTGGGGTGAGGGGAACACTCATCCATTGTTGGTGGGAATGCAAACTCGTGCAGCCACTGTGGAAATCAGTGTGGCGGTTCCTCAGGAAACTGGGAGTCAACCTCCCTCAGGACCCAGCAATTCCATTCTTGGGAATATACCCTAAAGATTCCCTAACATACTACAAAAGCATTTGTTCTACTATGTTCATAGCAGCACTATTTGTAATAGCCAGAACCTGGAAACAGCCTAGGTGCCCCTCAATAGAAGAATGGTTAAAAAAGGTGTGGAACATATACACATTAGAGTTTTACTCAGCGGTAAAAAACAATGACATCTTGAATTTTGCATGCAAATGGATGGAAATAGAAAACGCTTTACTGAGTGAGGTAAGCCAGACCCAAAAAGAGGAACACGGTATGTATTCACTCATAAGTGGATTCTAATCATAATTAAAGGTCTTTGAGCCTATTATTCGTGATCCTAGAGAAGCTAAATAAGAAGATGAACCTGATGAAGATTATTTAGCTATCCACCAGGAGGTAGGAAATAGACAAGAGTCCCAGATCCTTCATCTGGCGAAGGACGGCGATACAGTCGGAGACCCACATTGGAGCACCGGACTGAGCCCCCCGAGGTCCAAATGAGGAGCAGAAGGAGGAAGAACATGAAAAACGAAATCAGTACTGCGAGGGATGCTATCACCCACTGATACAAGGGAACGGATCTGATGAGAGTTTACCAAGGCCAGTTGGACTGGGACTGAACGAGGACGTGATCTAACCAGATTCTCGGAATTTGGCCGGATTCTATGACTGTGGCTGGCCCGAAGTCTTTCTGAAAAGCCATTGACTATGACACTGGGACCTGTTTCCTCTACATATACTGGATTTTGGGGATCCAGTCTGTTTGGACACTCACCTTCCTGGACCTGGAGGGAGGGGGAAGGAACTGGAACTTCCCACAGGGCAGGAAACCCTGACTGCCCTGGGGGACAAAGAGGGAGGAGGAGGGGGAGTGGGAGGGTGTTGGGAGGGGGGGCGGAAATGGAAACTTTTATAATTTAATAAAATTTACTTTAAAAAAAAAAAAAGAAATGTGCCCAGGAACACAGGGCTGGAACTGGGCACAAACACAGCCACAAGCGGCCCTGAAGCACATGTCTAGAAAGCATATCTTACCCCCATGAACTGCTCTCTACAACAGTGGCAGGGTCTGTGTGTATGGGCAGAGCTTTTCCAGCAATGGGCACTGTGAATATTCTTGAGTGGGTCTTCAGGCACAGTACAGACATTCTTCACCTTTGGATAAGGAAGAGGGATCTCATGTAAGATCTCCATTTACACAGGACCAGGGAGCTTTCACAACCACACAAGTCCCCACATGAGACCTGTGCATGTACACAGATGTGCCAGTTCATAGTGTTTTGTGTTTCCCCTTTTCAGTTTTTATGTTTTTTTAAGATTTATTAATACATATATGTATGTGTAGATATGTCAGTGCCCATAAAGGGCAGAGGGAGATGTTCAATAACCTGCAGCTGGAGTCACAGGAGTCTGAGAGCTGCCTGGCCATGGGTGCTGGGATCTGAACTCTGATCCTCTGATAAAGCAGTAAGAGCACTGTTAAGCACTGAACTGTCTATTCAGCCCCATAAATAATGTATCTCCCTCCCCACATCCCGCCCAGTATGGAGGACTGAGTCTAAGCCCTCAGCTATGCCAGACTAGCACTGAACTACATCTCCAGTCTCCCTTTTCCTTTTTACAAATTAGTGTCAGGCTGGGCTGCAGCTCAGGGACAGCGTGCTGGACGAGCGCAGAAGCCCAGACCCCTTTTCTCTGCTCAAAACCAAACCAAAATCAAAGGCTGTCCTTAGTCTCTAACCTTTAAGTCTAACGACTTAGCAGAGCCAACAGCAGCCTTAGAAAGGCTGGCATTCCTTCCTCCCAGGTCTGTGGCCACAGGGCCCTGGGGAACAATCTTCTACACATGGAGCTGTGCGACTCCATGATGAGAGCTTGAGGCAAGGATAGCCGGAGGGCAAACGCATCAACCACTCCAAAGAAAAAGTTAAAGGCAGGTTTTTATGAAATTTTCTTTAATTCCATCTTTTTGAATTAAAATTTTTATTTTCATGATACAAAAGCATTCCATGTCCACAAGTGTCGGCCGTGGAGTGTCTCGCAGGAGTGCATGGTGCTCTGCCACTGTGGAACCTGTCCAATGAGGGCTGGATGCATGCTGCAATTCTGCCATTGTCTCCCACACACGCACACGAGGGCGCAGGCACACACACACACCCACACCATGTAACCAGATACACAAAAATGCATGGTAAAGACAAGCAGGTGAAGTCACTTCACCATTAATCTGGCACTGTGCACAGGAACAGAAAAGTCAGCTTCTCACTCACACACCACCCACGAGAGACTTGTATCAGAGGGAAAGTAACCTGAAATAGCGTGCCCTCAAAGCCCAGGTATCTGCTGAGATGACCCTGGGTCAGCACGAGAAGATGGCATGGAAAAGACAAGCCTGCGTGCTGTTCCTAAGCAGTGATGGTGGGAAGTAGGGTACAACCACTTACTCGTCGGAGTCAGTGACCATGACCTGTGATGGCACCACAGGCTGGAATGGAGAGAGGTCCAGGCACATCTCCAGGCAGGGTGAAGCTCAGTACGAATATAATCCTAACACCCTGGAGGCTGGTTCTCCTGGCATGGTTCACAGCTGATTTCCTTCCTGGGCAGACTTGCCAACACTCATGGGGCCAGACAGGTTTCCCAGGAGCAGGAAGTAATTAGTTAATAACACACACACCTGCAACAGTCCTCAATCATGACGTGTGCCAATGGTCAGTTTAGATGGAATGGGAAGATAGAGATAGCCAAAAAAGGAAAACGTAGCTCTCCTAGGAAATAAACTTGGTTCTAAGCCCTCCCATGCCTCATTTGATTAAGTGAATACAGTATGGCTTCCAAATAGCTCTCTCAGCAGCAGCATGCTCAGTGTGCTACACCCTGGTCTCTGTTACCACGTGTCGGGGACTTCGAAGAGCATGGCAGGGCTATCTGCGACAGTTCCTGAGGGAAAAGAGAAGCAGATTAAGGACATGGACAGTCACTAGGGGAGCACTGTTGGCTGGCACTGAGAGCACCCTGTGTATAACTCCAGACAAGCAGGGAAGGACTGGTGCACAGGAAGGTACTAGACTTGGGGACAGACCCACACATAAAGGGGAAGCACAAGCACCTTTAGGAAGGTGGTGAACCTCCTGACCTGCTTAGGCTGCCTCTGTTTGCTCAGAGGTGGGAGCCTGGGTGCAAGCACTTCATGTACCTCTCACTGTGCAAGCAGCATTCTCTGCTGGAAACCAAGCTGGGCACTTAAGTTACATACTTCATAAAAGCCCACTAGGTAGCCACTGATGTCCCCAGGATAGTGGTGAAAGAACAAACATAGAAAAGTAACCAACTGCCTGAGGAGAGTTTAGAGCAAGCACTAAGCTCCTCACTAAAGTTGCAACAACCTGAGTTTCCATGAGGAGAAGTGCAGCTGGTACCCGGAGGAGAAATGCCAAGCAGCAGGCCAGTGAGGACCATGGGTCCCAGGACAGCAAGAACAGTAGTGGTTTTTGCAGAGGCAGTGATGCAGGCTGAGTCCTCCTCTGGGCCAGTTACAGACAGGTTTCCTGAAGGTCAGAAACTCTTCCACTTCAGCCATTTGTGCGACAGGTGGTAGGGGTGGCAGTGCCAACACTGCTGGATCGGTGTGTGAGTCACAGCGTCTAGTGTGGCTCGAGTGTGGACTAAGTTGAGGAAGAAAGTGTCCATAACGGAAAGCATCCAAGCCTGTCACAGGCAGAGCCAAGACTCTGGGCGTGGACTGCTCGAGAGTGAACTTCACAAATCTGTCTCCGCCTCTGTGCCTTACTGCGTGGTTACAGAACCTGACAAGATACTGAAAGAAGTTCTGAGGGCACACACATCCTGATGCCCTGTGGCACAACAGGAACCCAGCGAACAGCTGTTTAGTGCTCTCATCACACACGAAGGCATCTGGCAGCTAACAGCGGCACTGACACCATTCTGGGCGGCCTCTGTGGAGCATCACACCCAGTGGTTCTGCTTCCGCTACACACTCTTTGGAAAGCAGAAAGCCTTGGGGCTGGCCCACCTGTTAGGTATCAGCTCTGTGTGGCACAGTGGCTGTGGCCCACAAAGCTGAGTGTTAAAGCTCTCAGGGAGACCCTGGGCCACATGGTCCCCAGCATTCCCTACAGCCCCACCACTGGCAGAACCTCCACTCTTGGCACTTTCAGAGCCTCTGAGGCTTCAACATATGCATGAGCTTGCACTTGCTCATGACAGGTCTCACTCAGAGAAGTGAGCAACAAGACTGGTTGACTCAACGGGTTCAGCCTCTGACTACCTTGGCCTAGCTTGCACACATACAGGACTGAGTGCTTAAACCAGAGGTTGGAGGGTCCAGCAAGTTCTGCCTTGCAGTCAGAGGCTTTATTCAGGAGGCTTCAGAAAAAAGCCTACTTCCCCACGTCCTCCAACTCAACATCAAGGTATCTCCCCAGCAGTGTCTCCTTTTGCAGTACCGAGGAAGAAGTACAAAATCTACTTTTGTTTTGGTTCACATTGTTCAGTACTGTGTGTGTGCAAGCTAGCCTTAAAGTCATGGAAATCCCTCAGCCTCAGTCTTCCAAATGTTGTGATTCCAAGCACACAGTGCCCAGTCCGGTCTTTTAAGGTGACTATTCTAGAGAGAGGAGTGACGAGGGTGGAGAAGGGGTGAGGAACGGCGAGCAGGAGGATGATGAGGGTGGAGGAGGGGTGAGGGACGGCGAGCAGGACTTTAGTCTGTGTTAAAATGAAGCTGCACCACATGCAGACAAGGGTCATGCAGACAAGACTCTGTGTGACTTGCTAACTTTGATGAAATCCAGCAAACTATAGATCAGGATACGCACAGGGTGGAAAGCACAGTCAAGCCTGCTGCCCAGCACTGCTCTGATCCCACTCTTGATTCTCAATCCTGTCCCCAAGTAACACAAAGAAAATCAACTGTATCTAGGCCAGTATCTCACCATCCTGAACACATAAACAGGCCCTGGTTGAGAGTACCAGCCAGCTTCCTTACAGGGCAGGCAAACTTAAGGAGTCTGGGACCTTGGGCAAACTCTTAGGCGCTCCATGTTCCTAGCCATGAAGTGGACAATGACGCACAGAACTGCCCAGCATTCAGGCCTGTCCCACATGTACAAAGCACATGGGGAGCAGTGCTACAGATGCTGCAGTGCCACCTGCTTCCTTATCCTGCAGAGCAGGGATGAGAAGTCACCCAGGCCCTTGCTCTAGAGTGTATGTGCACTGGCTGCTTAAGGCTGTGTGAGGTGAAAAAGGCACAGCTGGCTCAGGCAGGCCTGGGTCCCCCGGTTCCACGTTTCACACTTCCCTAACTTCTCAGAGCTTGTAGTCTGGATCACTCAAAGGGTGCTGTTTCCCCATTTCAAGGCTTTTGTGAAAACATAAAAATCAAGTGTAAGAAGGCTCCCACGCTGGGCGGTAGTGGTGCACACCTTTAATCCCAGCACTTGGGAGGCAGAGGCAGGCGGATCTCTGTGAGTTTGAGGCCAGCCTGGTTTACAAGAGCTAGTTCCAGGACAGGCTCCAAAAGCTACAGAGAAACCCTGTCTAGAAAAACAAAAAAACAAAAACAACCACCCCCCCCCCCCCAAAAAAAGAAAGAAAAGAAAAAGGTTCCCTAAGGAGTCTGGCAAACACTAGGATCTGAACACTTGCTAAGTTCCCATTTCCTTGGCTCCTTACAGAATTCTGTTTGTGAAGAAAGTCGGAAGGCCAGAGTGTCCCTGGGAAGTATCAGGCTTGCTCCTGACATTCAACACAAGGGGTTGCTGCTGTGCAAATCTAAATGCACATCCTAAGCACTGGGGCTACCAGAGATATGCATGCAACACCTTGAAAATATGGTAGAGATGGGAGTCATGAAGGCAGCCTGACCACCTCTCATCAGAGGCCTCATCGGGTTGTGTGTGCGGCACCAGGGCTGCTACAACCTCTTAAAATGCATCATTGCTTGTCTCTTAATGGCTCAGGTTTGAGAACTCTGCCCCAGCGTGTGGTACTACTTCGAAGGCTGTGGAGCCTTTAAGAGGTGGGGTCTGGCTGGTGGAACCCCTCCTCTTCCTGTACACCACCACCTGAACAAGCACAGCTTGATGTGCAACCACCTCCTGCTCTACCCACACACAGAAGCATCACTGCCATCATGCTGAACCGAAACCCCTCAGAAGCCATGAGCCTGAATAAGCTCTTCCTCCCTTAAGTTGTTGTGCCAAGTAATCCAGCACAGCAATCAAAGAGCTGCTTTTCATGCTCCAAGAGACGACAGCTCCATGCACATGGAGTTTGCCTTCAATACCTGCTATCATTTTGCTCCCAAAATAAGAGCCTCCTGAAGCCTGAAGCAGCTCCTGGTCAGAGTCAGTCAGACTAATACTGACCTGCCAAGGAAAGCTCTTTCTTCAATCTCTTTAGCTTCTTGGCCTTTTTCCTTCCCTCTGGGAGGGGATCTGCACAGGAATCCATCTGTTCAAGTTCAGAGTCAGTTATCTCCTCCAGTTCTCTGTCCTCTGAGCCAGCTTCCCGTGGGTCAGGACTCAGATTTCTCTTTCCAATTACACCAGTTGCTGAGAAGCTGCAACATACAAGGTGAACAGCGTGAGTGGAGCTAGGAGCAGGAAGAGGGGCCAACAAAACGCCTCAGTGATAAGAGTCCTTCGACACAGGCACTACAGGATGCTGTGCACACAGCGCAAAGCTGGGCTGTTTTAGCATTAGCAACCCTTCATAGAAAAACCCCGGCTGCATCTCGAGAAAGCTACAGCACCAGAGGAATAAGGAGCAGAGCTTCTACGAGACAATCAGAATTTTGATGGCACTGAACCAAAAGAGAACAAAGCTCTTTCAGAACCTGCTGATGAAGCAAAGCAGAATGGAACAACTGCTGCTCCAGCTGCTCTTGCATGGCTCGAAACCTGGGTAGCCGTAGAACACATCCCGCTTTCGTGTAATTCTCTTCTCTTCTAAAATAGGTGAACTCTTAAGCTTATACTGAAACCTGGGTTTCTTTTTAAGTATAGTGATGTTTTATTTATGTTTTAATAAATAAAACTTACCTAAAGATCAAAAGGGCAAAGCTAAAGCCACTAGAGGACAGGCAGTGGTGGCACACACCTTTAAATGCAGGATTTGGGAGACAGAGGCAGAAGGATCTCTGTGAGTTCAAGGCCACCCTCAGCTATACAATACAAGACCAATGCAGAAACAAATCCAGTTAGTGGCAGCTCATATCTTTAATCCCAGTACTGGGGAGTCACAAGCCTTTAATCCCAGCACTAGAGGAATACAAAATGGAAGGAGAGGCTTAGTCTGTAGTCACCCAGCCTTGGTAGAGGTAAGACTTCTCTAATGGCTTGGCTGCTTTGCTTTTCTGGTTTTTGGGTTGAACCCCAATATCTGACTCTCGGTTTTTATTTTTTGTGCTACGTTTAAGACTTCACAGAATTTGATATATTGAATCAAACTAGATTATAGGTCTGATTTTTCCTTTAAAAAAATATATTCCCTGAAATGGACTTAATGAGCTAGACCATGTGACCAACAAGTCTTGTCTTCTTGAAATGTATCTTATAAATAGATTTTTTTAAATGATAAGATGTATTAAAAAAAAAACAAAAACAAAGAATTCCATTTAAGGGACACCTTCAAGTAGAGAGAGCTGGGTGAGAAGAATTGAGAGCTAACCTCATAGGATTAGACTCCTAGAGGTGACACTGGCAGATACTCAGGTCAACAATGTGGCAGCTAACTCTGTTCCTCCTCCATGTTCCTCCCATCTCCTCGGCACTTGACAGTCACTCTAGACCATCCCCATGTGAGCAGGGTCACAGCAGCCCTCTAGCCCATCCCCTGTGTGAGGCTCATGCCAGCCCTGGCCTCTGAAGGCTGGCCTCTTGCTTCTCCTCTACTACACGGACAGTTTGCTTTTGTTTTTAATTGTGGCAGGGAGAGGGATCAGCAGGTAATGGCACCTACCACAAGGCCTAATAGCTGGAGCTCCTTCTGACAGAAAGAAAAAGCTGACAGCCCTTACCTTCATGCTGTTGATGCTGCCTCTATCAGATACCAGATGTCTGTGAATATTTGGGTCTGTTTCTGGGCATTGTGTTTTATGATTTTGTTTTGTTTTATTGGGACAGGGTTTCTCTGTGTAGCTCTGGCTATCTTGGAACTTGCTCTTTAGAACAGGCTGGTCTTGAACTCAGTGATCCACCTGCCTCTGCCTCCTGAGTGCCGGGATTAAAGGTGTGTGACTTTAATAGATCCAGCTAAGTTTTGTTAAACATTATGTCCTAGGGAGCACCAGCCCTCAGAACTCAGAGACCAGAGAAAATGTCCATGCCTTCTCCCTTTGCAGCATGGGATGGTCCTAATGATTTAGTAACTTACTTAGGAGTTTTTGAATGGCCTAAATTTTCTGAAACTATCTAACGTTTAAAACAACAAAAATACTCAAAGGTATTATATCCTTGCTTTCTGAGACAGTCTCTTAATGTGTAAGCCAAGACGGCCTTGCACTCTTACTTCCTCTGCCTCACCCTACTGAGTGCTGGAATCATTTATATGCGCAACCTACCACAGGTTTATCTGTGTTTGTTATTTTTTGTGTGCGAGCCGACACAAATTGTTTCAGCAAAGATGGACTTTCTTACATTGCTGTTAAGATGAGTAGGGAAGGACAAATGGAAGGCTTTCTTCACACTGAGAAATGTAAGAACAGAAGTACTAAAAGAAAACCTGGGGAATTTCAGCAGCCTAGGTATGGAACATGCTTTCCTTGTATGAGTTGCCACCCAGATCAGTCAAGATTGATAAATCTGAATATAAAAATCTTATATATGGCAGTCTTGTGAGCAAAGCAAAAAAGAAAAATAAAAAAGCAGGACAAAATACTGATCACACACACCACAAAGGAATGTAAAGTACAAATGGAAGAAACTAAATGTAAAGGAAGAAACACACATATGCCCATACTCCTTAAACATGTCCATAAAGCAGCAGTGCAATGCTGAAAGGTAGTTTCTCACCACTAGATTAGCATAAATATCCACACACATGTGCTCTGCTCTGTGAGACGATGGGGATGGACACGTATGTGCATGCAGATGACAGTACAGCATTCCTGCTAGGGATGTGGGGCACCTAACAAAACAATACATGGATACCGCTCAAGTCAAAGAGCCTGCTTCTAACAGTTCAGAAGAAAAGCCTCCAACAATGCAAAAGAAAATGTAAGCTATGTATGTGTGTCATTCATCACCATGTCTTTTTTTTTTTTTGGTTTTTTCAAGACAGGGTTTCTCTGTAGTTTTGGAGCTTGCCCTGGAACTAGCTCTTTTAGACCATATTGGCCTCGAACTCAGAGATCCACTTGCCTCTACCTCCCAAGTGCTGGGATTAAAGGCGTGTGGCACCACCACCGGGCCTTACATTATTAAAGTATTAAAAATATAAAACCCAAAAAATAAAATATATAGATGGCCACTGTAAAAATTGAAAATATCAGTATAAATTTGTTTAAAGGAAGTAACAGAGACCAAAAGTAAAGCCTGGGTGTTAGCTGAAGTTAAGCCTTGTTAGGAAGTCACAGAAATGAGGCAGCTTGGGATCTTCAGAAGAAAAGAAAGAAATGGAGCAGAAAAGAGATATATTTTTCACAAAGGTGGTGCGTCAAGAAGAGTTTAGTGGCTTTTCTGTTTTGTCTGGGGTTCTATTTTAATTGTTACTTATGTATACATGTTTATGTCTGCTTGTCTGTATGTGCATACAATGCCCTTTGAGGCCAGCAAATAGCATTAGAGCACTGGAACTGGAGTTAGAGGTGTCTGTGAGCCGCCATATGGGTGCTGGGACCTGAACCTGGTTTCTCTGCACAGGCAGCAAGTGCTCTGAACCACGGAATACTAGAATAACAACCAGGAAACCATATGGGAAACACTAAACCTTAACTAACCTCCATACATTAGTCAGTTTCTCAGTGTGACAAAATCCCTGAAATGAACAATTCAAAGAAAGAAAAAAGACAGTCTCAGGAGTTTCAGCGCTGGCTGCCTGGCCCATCGCTTAGACTCATGGTGGGACAGGACCAACAGCAGGAGCACTTGATGCAGTGAAGCTGCTCACGTCATAGTGACCCAGAAGCAGAAGGAAGGGACAGCAGCTCCTAGAATCCCTTTGAAGGGTATTTCCCCAATGACTTACACACTCCAAACAGCCCCCACTCCTAAAGTGCCAACCTTCTCCCTACAGCATCACCAGATGAGAGCAAAACTTCATTTGGAAGGCATGTAAGAACCCCATCATTTCATGACATAATCAAAATTTATTTGAAATGGACCACAACCCAAGTAGAAAAGCAAAAACAACAAACCCTCCAAAAGAAAACATGAACAAAATCATGACTACCTTAGGGTAAACAAACATTTTCAAGGAAAAAAAATATCTAACTATAAAAGAAAAACAAAAACCATAAGCAAACCATCACAGTACCAGTCTTTTCTGTTGTGATAAAAAAAAACACCAGACCCAGGACACTGACAGAAAAAGCATTTATTTATGGACCTAGAGGGAGGTTCAGCTGACCAGCAATACAGTGAGATCAGGATCACAGCTGCTCCTGTTGGTATCTAGCCTCTTCCTTTCCCGAGCGTTGAGTACCTTTTGCCTCTCTCTAGATTGCAGGTAGATTACTCACATTGCTGGGTGCTCACACATGGGGAAGTGTGGCGACAGGATGCCATGATGGTTGGAGCAACAAGCTAAGAGCTCACATCTTAAACCTCAAGCAAGAAGCAGACAGCAAACTGGGAATTGCACAATTCTTTGCTACCTCAAAGCCTCCAGAAGTGTCACACTTCCTCCAGCAAGGTCATACTCAGACAAAATCACCAACTGAGGACCAAGCACTCAAATGGCAGAGCCTATGGGAAGCATTGTCATTCAAACTATCACAATCACCAAAAGTATCTGCTCATTAAGAGGTATCATTAAATAGTCAGGTGGTGGTGGCATACACTTAATCTCAGCACTCAGGAGACAGAGGCAGACAGATCTCTAAGTTCACGTGGTCCTACAGAGTGAATTCCAGGAGAGCCAGGGCTACACTGCATATTATTTTAAGTGTTCCTTTTGTGTTTGTGCTGTGGAACATTTGTTTAATGATGTAAAGATGTGTAATTTTTGTTTATGCTGCATTTGTTTAACTCTGTGAAGCTGTGATTCTTTGCCTGTCTAAAACACCTGATGGTCCTAATAAAAAGTCAAACAGCCAATAGCAAGGCAGGAGAAAGGATAGGCGAGGCTGGTAGACAGAGAGTCTCAATAGGAAGAGAAATCTGGAGAGAGGAGGAGTAACAAAAGAACAAGGGAAGGAGGCCATCAGAGGCCGGCCAACCAGCCACAGAATAAGAGTGATATACAGAAGTAGGAAAAGGAAAAAGCCCAGAGGCAAAAGGTATTCAGAATAATTTAAGTTATAAAAGCTGGAAAGAAACAAGCCAAGCTAAAGCTGGGCATTCATAACTAAGAATAAGCCTCCGTGTGTGATTCATTTGGTAGCTGGGTGGTTGGGCCCCCCAAAAGTCAAAAGAGCAAAACATCACACACTACAGAGAAACCCCCAAAAGAGATCATTACAAAAAAGTGAATAAGCAAATCAATCCTCAAAAATAAGTGTTCAGCATACATTTCTAATCCAGAATACTTCGAATCAACAGAAAAGAAACAGCCAACACAGTTTCCAAGGGGTATGACAATAAGCCTCTAAAAGGGATACCTGAATGGCCAATAAGCACATTAAAAAGGTAGCCAAGGACTAGAGCGTGCAGCTAAACAGAGCTGACTAGATTCTTAGCACTGCAAACACAAAAGATGGGTCACTTCATTAGTCATGAGAGAGAAGGAAATTAGAAACATAAGGTGCTAGCTCATCTAGCGTAGCTAAAAGTAGCTGACAGCATTAAATGTTGGCAAATGTGTGAAGCACTGGAAGTCACAAGTTACTGGTGGGCTGTAAAATGGCATAGCCACTTCAGAGATTGTTTCTGTTTCTCCAAAGCTTAAAGTTTAACAATCACATAAATGTCATACACCATTTCATAATCTTCCTTCTACTCACTCACTCGGGATGAAGAAAAACATGCTGACACATACATATTCACAGCAAATAGCTCCCCTCCCAAAATCAACACACATAAGAGCAAATCCCAGAAACAAGGTTTATCTTTATCTTTTTTTTCTTTTTTTAATGAAAAGGCAAGGACAATACTACATAATTCCATCTCCAAAGCTAAACCAAAAAGGGTAAGGTAAACTAATCCTTTTCTATGAATCTCTCTGCCTACTTATTTTTGGGGTTGGGGAATGGACTCAGGGTCTTAGGCTTGCTAGGTCATGGTTCTCTGATTTTGGTGCCTCAGAAAAGGGAGAGGCAGATACCAGCGGGAGCAGCTCTACCCTGGCCTCTCGCATTGCTGGACAGGCCCTGAACCTCCATTTCCTTACTCATAAGACTGGAATAGAATACCTCCTATTTGTCTTGATGGTGTTGTTGGAGAGTTAGTGAAAAAATCTGGGGTCTATATAACCTCTCAAATGTTACAAACTGGAATACTCATAAGGCAGTGCAAAAAAAAAAAAATCTAGCACCAAAGAGGTCTGTGAATTCAAGGGCAACCAAGATTATCTCAAAATGAAGATGCACCTAATAAAAAATTAAACAGTAATCAGTTATTTACAACATTATATAAAAGGTATTTTCCTCCTTATTCATTAAGGAGGCACCAAGAGGGCCACTGCAGGGACAGCGCAAGTCCCAGCACAGCCAGGGGCTCACCTGTTGGTATGGGAACAGGGGTCTGGAACAATGGGCTGCTTCCTGTCCACCTCCTTCCAGCTGTCTTCTGTCCACTTCCTCTTGACCTGCTTGTCTTCCCGCTTCTTTCCCACATACTCAGCATAGGTCTGGATCCGGTAACTTTCAGCGTATTTGCTGGTATTAACAGCTACAAGGAAGAGAAAGAAATCCTTAGATCAGATAAAGACAATACTTGGGAAAGGTGGCCGATGGTGACTAAGAAGCCCCAGCCCAGAGGGGCTTTGTAAACAGGAAAGCTCTGCAAAGGCATGACCAGAACACTGACTTTCCAGGTGTGTTTACAGCTAGCAAGACAGATTGTAAGAAAGAGTAAACAAGCAGCCATTAGGCAATACCCGCAAATTCTCACTATTACAGAGTAGTGACAAAGGCCACAGCACACTGGTGTTGCCACTATGTCAATGCTTCAGAGATACTGTGTTTAAGTTCCACAGTTTACCTGCGAGAGAGAATGTCTTTAACAATGAGAAGCAATGGGTTGGGAAGACAGCTCATTTAGTAGCGTGATTGCTTTAAAAGCATGAGAACTTAAGTTCAGATACCCAGATCTGATACTACCAAAAAAAAAAAAAAAAAAAAAGAAAGAAAAAAAGAAAAAAAGTCTAGCATGATGTGCTGCAAATGGGCAGATAGACCCCAGAGGGTCAGCTGGCCTGGTCTGCATGGCACAGTTCCAGGCCAGGGAGGTGGGAGGCACCTGAGAACCAATTTCTAAATTTTTTTTTTTTTTTTTTTTTTTACTCCACCTCCCATACCAATACACAATGAGAAATAAGGTCACAGAAGTCAAGGGTTTCCTACAGGTCCCTCTACCGAGACACCAGGTTATCCAAATGGCAGGGCCCTTTGTGATGCACTGCACTTAAATTCTAGAAACTCCACAACCTCTGACATTTGCTTAACTACCCCCCACCCCACACACACTTTTTGGTTTTTGGTTTTTCAAGACAGAATTTCTCTGTGTAGTCCTGGCTGCCTGGAACTCACTCTGTAGATCAGGCTGGCCAGAACTCGTAGAGATCCGCCTGCCTCTGCCTCCCAAGTGCTGGGATTTTGCCCTTTTTGGGCAAACCCATTTCTTGGGGATTGATCCATGTTACCTCACTCACCGTTCACTTTTAAAGACCTCCCCCTCCCCCAGTTCTCTGCATTGCACCCTGCTGGTGCAAATGGGTGGGTCAGAGATTTTGTTTGTTTGTTTCTGGGTTTGTACTATGGAGCACAGAACCCAGGGCCTGGCTCACACACAGCACATGCTCTTCCCCAGAGCGCTGCTCTGGTTACTTGTGTTCCAAACCCACGTGCTCCTTCTTTGAGGAAAAGGATGGGACAAGTGGCAGTGAGATAATGAGGACACGGAGACCTGTCATGGGTGAACGGCTCCGTCACAATGGGTGGTGGTCCATGCAGTTTCGTCATGTGCTCTTCTTGCCCACTAACCGCACCTCTAACACTTGTAGGGAGATAAGAGCACATTCTCTTCGGAGGGATACCTTGCTCAACCTAGATATAGGGGGAAGGGCCTTGGTCCTGCCTCAAAGTGAAGTGAGATTTTGCTGACTCCCCACGGAAGCCTTACCCTTTCTGAGGAGTAAATGGGGAGGTGGGATAGGGAAGGTGGAGGAAGCAGGAGGAAGGAGGGGATGGAGTGTGAATGAAGAAATAAAAAAAGACTGTATTTAAAAATTCTTAATAAAAAAGAAGGAGGAGGAGGAGGAGGAAAAAAGAGCCTGGCCATGCTGTCGGAGTAGTCTTGATACCGAAGGAGCTGCACCAGCACATGACAGTCACGGTTTGTACAGCTGTACCTGGCAGAGTTCAAAGTAGATGCATGAATGGATGCATGAAGGCAGAAGGCAGCTGGGACACATGAACATATAGTCCCGGGGTATGCCAGAATTGGACAATGGACCAGGCTTGGTGGCACAAACATGTAACCCCCACGTTCAGAAGGCCAAGACAGAGGAGTGACAGCCTAAGGCCACAGTGAGTTCAGGACAAGATCCTGCCTGGGAGAAAAAGAAGTAAAAGAGACTCTGGCATACCAGAAACCTTAACCTTAAGAAAAGGAAAAGGAAGTATAAGAGGCAGACGCTACACACGGCCAAGGGTCGATATTTTGAAATCTTAAAATGGATCAGATTTGACCAAACTCCTCAGTACAATTGTTTGTTTCATGTCATACTTGAAATATCTGGACATCCAAATATTAAAATAAGAAAGAGGGATAAGGAAGCACTTCTATCAATGTGGTGAATGAAAAGAAAACTCCCTCCAAAGGGAGTGGCACTATTAGGAAGTGCAGGCTTCCTGGAGGACATGTGTCACGGTAGGAGGGTCTTTGGGGTCTCGTGTGACAGTCAGTAGACTTCTTGCTGCCTTCTGGTCAAGAGGTAGCCAGCACCACATCTGCCTGCACACCACCATGCTCCTTGTCATGATGATAATGGACTGAATCAATGAAACTATAAGCTGCCACCTCAATTTTTTTTTGTAAGAGTTGCCGTGGTCATGGTGTCTCTTCACAACAATAATAAAAAAAGAGTCTAACTAAGACAGTCAGTAAAGTGTCTGCCATATAAGTACAAGAACCTAAAATGCATGGGTGGCAGTGTGTTCCTATAACCATAGCCCTGGGAGAGGGTAGAGACAGGCAGATCCCTGAGGCTCATTGGCCAATTTAGGCAAATCATTGAGTTTCAGGTTCACAAGGGAATCCTGTCTCAAAAGCACAAAGGTGGAAGAAACATCTTTGTTGACACCCAGTTTCCACATATGTGAGTACCCATGTGCACATGGACACATACTAACAAGTACTTCATTCACACCCTATGGTCACGACCCACAAAGAAAGATTTAATATACTTTAAAAAAAAAAAACCTCAACTTCTTTAAGACATACAGAAGTTTACTTAAAGGTTTATTGTATTTTTCTATAGTGAAAGAGGAAAAACACCTCAAAGTATCAGGAAATTTTCATATTATGCAACATTTCCTCCCAAAGAAGTAGCAGGGATTGTGAACAAACCATGAGCTCAAAACCACAACTCTACGTCACAGCAGCGCAGTCTGCAGAGTTGTGTCGTGTGATGGACCAGCACTGTCTCCCTGAAATCCCCTCTTTGATTGGAAGGTCTACACTACAGCACCCAAAATAATCCTCTCTGAGTGGGATGTGCATTCCCAAGGAGAACCATGGACTCAGGTCAGTATCCCCACAGCAGCTGAGGCCATGGCAGGGCTCGAGGGCAGCGAGAGGATGTGCCCAGTGGTACTCCCTCTGCTCCCAGTCCCCTGCCCCAGTCCACAGAGCAATGTCTCCAACAGCTCCCTGAGCACAGTGGAATCAGGGTGACTTGAAAGGGAAGACAGATAACAGGCCTCTCACCACAGGCCTCACATGGCAATGATACCAGCATCTCTTCAAGTGCCTACAGTTCTGCAGCTCTGGCCTTTAACCTAAAAGCCAACATCTGGCTCAGAGCCACGCTTCTGATGGGTGAATCACAAAATAAATCAGCTGTCCACCCAGTCCTTCAGCATCCACTTGCCTGTTAGAATCAGCATGGAGCAGGCTACCTGGGGACACAAGCCTTCTCCAGGTGAGCCAGGGAAAGGGCTCTTTTGCTCCAGCCACTTTGTCAAAGCCGATGGGAGGTCAAACACACCAGGAGTCTACCCTGTTTCCCTGTGGACAGTGAGGTGATTCTCACATAATAATCTCATGTCTCCTGCCAAGTCTGTTGCCTCTTCACTCAACACACATCACAACATTTAATCTCCACAATTCCCAGAGGAACGGATGCTCCAATGACCACAGATAAAGCTCTCCCGCTGCCTAAAGCCTTGCAGAAATCAGCTTTAAGCTGAAACCAATACATAAGAAATATATAGACACATTTAAAAGTGGCATTCTCTCTCCTGTGTATTTACAGAAATTTAGTTTGCTGAAGCTGACAACCATCTTATAAAATGCTGCATTAGGAATTTTAATTAATTATATAAGAAGCTGAATTTTCGACCTAGGACAGAGAGGGCCCGAGAAAACAAGCTCTACTGGGAGCAAAAGCCAGGAGTAAATCCAGTCCTGGGAGCCAACCCAGTCCTGGGACACTGGCAGACCAGGATTGAGCCAACAACCTGACTCAGAGTCTGCAAGCTCCACCAGAACAGGTCCAACTCCAAGCCAGGGACTTCAGCAGGAGGAGATCCAGACCAAGATTTACAGAAACAGATCAAAGCCAGCAGCCTAGGTCAAAGTAGACCTAAGACAGCAAACTCCAAGGGAGCAGAGCAGGCACAAGAGCACTGAGCTATCTCCAGGAACAGGAATAGCCAACAGGGTAACTAGAACTGTGACACTGACTATACTACGAGGAACAACCATCTGAGCTTTAGATTCACTGGCACCTAGAAGATTATTCAAGAGAATCTCAGAGAGCCCCAACCACACCTATAGAGGAAAAGATGAGTAGAAAAGGTAAGATCACACGCTACACCACAAAGAACACAATACCAGTAAAACCTAAAGACCCTACAAAAGTAAGACCTGAACAACAAAATATGAATGAACCAGAAGAAAATGATCTAAAAATTAACCTCAAGAGAATGTTTGAGTTCTTAAAGATGAAATGAGGGGCTGGAGAGATGACTCAGAGGTTAAGAGCATTGCCTGCTCTTCCAAAGATCCTGAGTTCAATTCCCAGCAACCACATGGTGGCTCACAACCATCTGTAATGGGATCTGGTGCCCTCTTCTGGCATGCAGGCATACACACAGACAGAATATTGTATACATAATAAATAAATATTTTTTTAAAAAAGAAGAAATGAGAAATTCCCTTAAAGAAATGGAGGAAAAACAAACAAAAAATTGGAAGATATCAGCAAATCACTTAAAGAAAACCAAGAAAAATGACTCAAACATATAAAAGAAACTATATAGGACTTGAATACTGAGATAGAAACAATACAGAAAACAGAAGCTGAAGGAATTATAGAAACAGAAATCATGAGAAAAAGATCAGGAACCAGAAATGCAAGCATGACCAGCAAAATATAAGAAATGGAAGAACGTATCTCAAGTGCTGAAGATACAGTAGAGGAAATAAACTCATCAGTTAAAGAA